GTGTGATTTGAGTGTGCACACAAACACATGGCATTTTTGTTTTCAAGTAAATATGCTTGTTAGTTAGATGTTGTTTGGTCAGCCCTTTAAGTCATCCAATACGTCCCCAAAAAGTCAAGTTCACATTTTTGACATTTTGACATTACGTGCCGCTGAAGGTGGGTCATGAATTTATTCTTAGGAACCGATAAAGGTAGAGAATTCACGTGCAAAATAAGATTGTGATGGAGTTGTTGCACAGAAAGAGAATATTATTGTATTCAGGAGCCAAGCTAGGTGTTTCGTGTCACCTGATATGTCACGTGACATGGCTGGGGGGGGGGGAAGGGGGTTGATGTTTTTATATCGTAAATTGTTTTGATTAGTGAAATATAATGAACTGATTAATAAAAGGGAGCAACAAGAAAAAAACAATTTAACATTTAATTTTTTAATTAGAAGCAAGACGCCTCCGGCGATATTCAGTGTGCACACGGTCATTTTCACATTGAATGATTTATCATAACTCAAGCATACCATGTGAAAAATATAGGGCGGGAGTAGAAAAGATAATGTCGAATACTAAGACCACTTAGACTCTTTTAATTACAGTTTGTTATTTCTCATAGAGACACATCACCAGGATAGCAATTTGCAACAAAAATCCGCATACGTTAGCTTAAATATTCCATTATTTCTCGAACTCTTTGGAAACTCACCCTATAACCATCTGCATGTATTGCAGTTTCAGGTAAAACCCTGGGTTTGAGAGAAAACTAACCTCTGTTGTTAGCGTTCAACTTCCGTTCCCAATTGCCTCTGAAAGTCAGGGTTGGCGTGCATTACCCGAGATGATGTTGCGATACTAGAAGCCTCCCGCAGTCATCAAAACAATTTCAATACTCCTGGCTACGATATCCCCTATCCATCATGATCAGAAAAATATGTTACTTGTCTTCCCCTGCAAGGGAATACAATCCTGGTCGTAGATCCTTTGATCCTCTGCTTTATTGCCTCGTTTCAACCGATGGCCGCTGGAAAGCCGGAGCAATAGTAATTAGTTTAAGCACGCAGTACGCTGATCGCGCTCGAGAATACAAAATCCCCCGTTCAGTACCGTTCCGTGGTAGTGCAAGTCAATTAAATCCCTATATCATGGTCTGCTTCTGCTGGGCAATTGCTGTCATCGTGGCTTTCTACGGTCATCTCTTTGCTTTGGAGATTGAAAGGGTTTTGAATGCCGCATCGAACTGAGGGAATTGTGCAGTGATCGTTTTTTCTTTCTTTTTCTTTTCTTTTTTCATCAACCGACGGAGAGTCAATTAACAATTAAGCAACAGGCACTTAAAATTACTAGACAGTAGCTTAGAGCTACAAAAACCAATTGCTTTGAGCGATAATTCGGTGCTTAGAACAATACGTTTAGTTGGAATTTCTGCAAAAACGCATTTCAAGCTAAATTAGATTTTTTACAGATTATTTCCAATGGGAGTTTTCTTCACTCAAATTAAGACCAAAACATGTGATGTAGAATGGATAATAATATGTCGTCCAGGGATAGAAAGTGCTTTTTACCATCTGGAAAAAGTCTGTGCCTCTTTCTGGTGTTGGAATTTACCCAGGTAACGATGTGAAATAGTTGAATGCATCGTTTAATAGCTACTTGCTGTTCTTTACGTTATTTATTTATTTATTTATACTAAAACACTTGGGTTCACTGGGTTCTACGACTACAGATAAAATAACAATGTGTTCGTTCTCACGGAACATTCCAATTTCGTTTTCTAGTCCAAAAAATTCAACCAATATAGGGACTATGGGACATCATATTATTCATTAGAGATAGGCAATTTATGACAGTAACTTTGTTAGATACGCTTTATTACCTATAACTAAGCTAATTAACGGCACTCCGTACTTTTATTCTACTTCCCCAGCTAATCTTTGTCCAATTTGATAAAAGCAACCATGCCTTCATTCATTATCTGACATTATGATAAATTAGCCTGGTATAAAAAATATAAGTGATTTATCTGTATTTAGAGTTTTTCTTGCCTTGTAGTAACGTCCAATTAGCAAATTGCTAATTAGGAACGACTTTTTTGAAAAACGAAATACATTAAAAAAAAATACGACCGAGAGCTCCCTATGGAGTTAAGCCGTAGGCTGCTAGTGTGTAGCTGAGCGAAGATGTTATGTTGGTGTTGTATTGTTTAATTTTGAAATCTTATTGGAAACGATTCTGTCTCCTTTAAATGAAAAACAATTACATCTTCATCCTGACTTCTTGAACTCAATCGTTGGTGACATTATCTAAATTTAATAAGGGCCCGAATGTTCTGATCTTTATATATATATGCAAATATGCACTGTGGTGGCAGAAACGTGCACGCAACTTATGGATACATCAAAACCCATTCCGTTTTTGTTTCAGAAATATATCTTCGATTTCCAGTCAGCTGTCGCTAATATCAACCGCTTGAGAGGATCATCAGTATGTCGCAGTCGGTTTAGTTGACATTCGAATGCACTCATACTATACTCGCTTACAAACGACCAGAAGCAGTTCGACCGGTTATTTCAATAACTCTCAGGTAATCAACCAATTATTTCAAGCATGCAATGGGCGGACGTGAGAGTATCCAATGAAAATTGGCAAATCAATGTGTATGTGTGTGTACGTGTGTGTGTGTGTGTGTGTGTGTGTGTGCGTGCGTGCATGGGGGGGGGGCGCAATGATTGAAAAATGAATGAATCTAAAAAACAACAGGCGAAGACATTAATATTACTTTTATACCTACGTGTGAGTTGTAAAACCGCTTCGTTTTATCTAATTTAGCTCATACTGTTATCATCTTTTTTTTCTTTTTTATGGGGGTGGGGGGAGGAAGGGGGAAGGGGGGTGACAGTGGGAGGGACGTTTAACTTCCTAAGCTACGAGGGTGGCACGCGTCCGCTGTGTCCCTGTGTCTCTCCGGATGTCTGTAATCTCCAAGTCGGCATATTAAGTCTTCTTTTTACAGGGCAGCGACTGCAGTTAAGACGCATGTGTTGAGCATGCGTTGTTTTCTTTTTGCTTCCACGACGATATCTAAATATTAACATTGTTTTTGCCTGCACGCAACTGATAACCTCGCCGCACTTGGAAGGATATAGTCACTTCTCCAAGTTTACTGATCAACTTAGTTAGATGAATAGTGTAGAACTAAGAATACTTCCGATGTCCCTTTCACCTGATATCTACACTTTATTCAATAAATCGGACAAAAGGTGGGGATCTCCAACACATGCCAATATCCTGGATATCTAGTAACAGCTGGTTCAATGAACTTTGGACAAAGTACTGTTCCTATAAAAAGGCACTCAGTAAATATTCTCCTCCTACCCCACTTTATTCATCCATTTATTTTCGAATTATTTATTTATTTATTTTTCTTATCCATTCATATAGGCCCTATTCATCTTTAATCCTAATTTTCTATGCATGTATGTTACACACTCACACTGACATATATAAACAACACCTGTACGCCAATCAGTGTACGCAACCAACTTAGACTACAGACTGGTCACCGTACGCCACTTATATTAATATCAAAATCCATGTTTGTGTACTGTACGCCAATCACTGTACGTTTACGTACACTGTCCCTCGTACGTTTTAACATTAAAATGTTTCACGTGCGGTACGACCTTTAGGCAGCGTTCACTGTTCACATCGGAGGCGACGCAACGTTCCGTATACCATCATTTATTATTTATTTATTTAGGTCCTATTCAGGTCATCTATGTATTTATTCACCTTGGAACCCATTCTTCTACGTTATGATATACTATTTACTCGTTAATATTTTTCTAATAGTGGTTCCATACTGTCGATGAATTTCTCGATCACCCCAGCACCTGTCACGCCTCAGCAACAGGATATTACAAAATGCTGTCAGATAAAGCCTCTGATCAAATTTTCTTACAGTGTTTTTGCATGCGTTGTATCCTGAACGAAAGAACATACATTGTGTAATTTTGCATACACTGTATACCTCAATATACATGTCATAACAACTAGAGATGTGGTTACTTATGTCACTGCTAGAGAGGAATAAATACTGTGTTCGTTCTCAAGCAGACTCCAATGTGAAGTTTGCGCCATGCGTACGTGCAACTTTATGAAAACCTGAGGCACATGCAAACGTACAGGTACGGGTACAAATTTAAGCGTCTTCTTAATCTTTAAACATTCAGCAAACCGAAGCAAGTTTCCAACGAAGGTTCAATTACGCTTGAACATTGGCTTGCTTTCAATTCATACAATTTATTTTATACTCCAAATGTGATTGTGTTATACCATTTTCTTTCATTCCTTGGCAATGGAGATCATGTAATAAGTGCCTGGATCGAGACTGCAGGCACTAGAGTCACACGTACGAGACTAATGATTTGCTGGGATAAGGACCGTAGGAAGGGAAAATAATAAAACAGTGACACGCAAAATATGGAGAGAGCGTCCTGCTGTGCAAAAGATCGTAAATCTACAGAGCGTCAGAGAAAACTACGGGAACATTACCCGCGGATATATCCTGTCAGTTTTACTTGGCTGCCGCACCACACTCCCAAGACTGACATTATTTCTGGTCCCATTCCCCCCTTTCCCGCAAAATCTCAGTTCATATTCAAATATTATCATCTCATTATTTCCATCTACTGTATAGTGCAAATCATATTCTCCCGAGCACTTGTTTATATCCAGTCATCAGCACTGATATTCAGTAATAAATACATATAAACCACCGACCTATTTCTTTTGAATGACATCTTTCCTGATGAAAGAAGTGATATTTTAAGATAAATTTCTATTTACAAATTTATTAATTTACTTATTTACTTGCGATTCTAGCACCAGTGTACAAGCATGTATGCTGCAATAATACTGCAGGAAGTGAAAAGTATTGTAACAGACATAAATCCCCAGGGCACAGGTTGATTACTACAGTATATGAATAAATGATGAACTCCTAACTTACCCCTTCAAGCTCCTCGGCAGATGTTCAAATGTCTCCTCCCCGCTAGCTTTTTTTGTATATGCAACTCCACGGGAAATGTTTTTAAGGTTGTAAATTGAATCAGTGTATAACCCAGACCCCGGACAAGGCAAACGTAGCAAATGGCTATTGACCCACGTTATATGTTATTGGTTTGCGAGTAATTGATTATACGGTGGTGAGTACCTAGGCTTGTCATTCCGCTACGGTCCCGTTCATCAGTAGCGAAGCTAATGGTCTGGTCTTGGCGTTAGATATCTTTCCTGTGCGTTGTATTTTAGAAAATGATAGGAAAACAAAAGTTCCTACACATGTGCAGCTACCCAATGAACGCTGTCTCGAGATTGCTGGACACTCATCAGAATGAACGCCGTGCCATGTGGAATTTGATAGATTCAACTCCGAGCATCTGATTGGCTAGAATGTCCCTTACGTCACCGCTGGCTAGACGAAAACAACAATGGCGCGGTCTAGAAGTCAAATCACAATGTTGATCTTGTTTTAGTCGTGTTATGGAACCAGATGGAGGAGTTATTCTGATTGTTCAGATACGTGTGTCGGTACATTAACAAATCGATTAAAATGTGCACGAGGCGCGGGAAATGGTTGCGTACATTGCACAAAAGTGCAATGTTTGTCCTAACAGAGCAATATGATTACACTTGGGCTGAAAACACATTATTTAGTGCGAGAGCATGTACGTGCGTTCACACGCACGACTCGGCGCAGTGTGGAATTGCTTTGTTCCTACGTCAATGGTCGTAATTTTTGACGTCAGTTGCGCATTAACAGTAACATTTAAAATCTATTACAGTATGTAGTATTAAATTATGGGATGACATATTATAGTTTACGAATAGGTGCTGATAATCAATTATAGCACTGCACACATGAACATGCGATAAAGTTTTCGTGTGCAAAAAAGGTGGGGTGAAAGTGAGGGTGGAAATTGACAAAAATATTACAAAGTCTACAAACACAGAATAACAGTGACGAATTAGATAGCAGTGAAAAAAATACGCGGAGAACAAAGTCGACTATGCAGTTTTATCGCACGACACGTGGTTTTTACACATCACCACACTGATTGCAAAAAAAAAAAAAAAAAAGAGAAAATAAACTTCAGCTGACTTTGCAGCTAACATACAATAATACAGTTATCATGAGCGAACTGTTATGTCTCTTCCAGATAAATATTAGCTCTCCCATGGGCCGGCAACATATGCTGACGTCTAAACACAGATCCAGTTAACCCTTGCTCGTACATGTAGATAACTGGAACTCACGTCACGTGCCTTTGTCTTCATGTTGATTTGCGACTGCTTGAGGCGTACCCCGCTGTGACCATCTGCAATCTGTTCGCTAATACAAACAACAGTGTTGCGTGGGATTACGAAGAGTGACGTCAAAACAAATATTATTGTCGGTAGGAAACACAGCGTCTAGCAGGTTCAGATAAAATCAATAGGTGTCAGGATCGTCAATAAATATAACGTACTTATATATATGTGTCTGCTACTGTAATTAATATATATTTAATGACTATGTGAGGTTAATGAGTGCCTAGGCATTTATATCGAACTACTGTAGTTTTTCATTGTTGTTTCATATTGTGTCTGTTGTGCAGCCAGTGCATTCACTTCTGTCGTAAAGGGTTGAAATGACGGCATGAAACAAATTCTTTAAAAGTGAACATATTATGCAAAATGTACATGTTATATAATCTTTATTTCCATTACAAAAGTGACTCAAATCTAGAAACAATAAAGTTATAAAAAAATACCAAGGCATGGGTGAGAATTCTGTCAGCGATTTAGAGGAGGTTGGCATTTATCTTGGTAATAATGGTAATAAAGGTAAAAGTAATGGTATTTCCAGGATGACCGAGTCACTGCTGCTAACAGGTCCCAGACCATGTGATACAATTGGTAATAATTTACATTACTTTATACACTTGTTATTTCGCTATATCTTAAGGAATAGAGCTCAGTGCGTGCCTTTAAGTACACATTTCAAATCAGATTCCCATTTACTTGAACAGATGTTACCAGAATGATACTTGATAAGGTTTAAAAAACCACAATAAACGGTAGTGTTTTCTATTTTCTTCCTCTATTCGATGGGCGGGCGCATAATTTAAACCGTTTGATGTCTTTTTATGTGTAAAAATAGAGATTGTCTTAGATCTAAAATACATTATCCATTTAACTCTCCTGGTACATGAAAATGCGGTTATGGTAATTACTGACGATTTTAAAACACATCCTCCATTGGGATATGTTTAATTTCTTTTATGATTTTTCTGACTTATTTTCCTGACTTTACAGAAAATACTCTCCGACGTGCCCACTGCTTAGATTTTTTACAGATATATCTGATCAAGTATTTTATTTTATTATTTATATTTGAGAGGTTGTTATATTTATGTTGAGATATTTTTTTTTTAATTTTTTGTTTTGATTTGGTTATATTTAGGTTTAATTAATTTTTGTTCCCCCTCAGAAAGCTAGAATACATATCTTATATGCAAGTCGTATAAAGCAGGTGGCCAAAAAGCTTTTTAACCCTGTAACAAAGGCAGCGACGACATTTAACTCCCCCAGATGTCCTTTATGAATAACTATAGTAGGAAATAGCATCACCCTGAGTGACCTGTGCTTTCAACACTCATCAAACACCATTTTTCAATTAAGCTTTACTATGATATGCGTATCAATTCAAAAACACGTTCTTCATATTTAAAATGTCGTTCATGTATCTTTCTAAACCGGATTTCCTGCATTATAAACTACATCATCCTTAGCGGCTCTGTTCAGGTCATTCTAGACTCCCGTTTCAATTAAAAGAAGTCCCCAGTTATGATGGTGGTGTAACTGAATCATGAAGTGTATTTCCCTTTATCGTTTAACTATTGTCAGCATATTATATACGAACGTCACTTTACCCAGCTGTGTTATTCATGTTATCCGTTATACGCGTAGCTATTCAATTAACCCATTGTAGCCCTCGTCATCAAAACAAACGGCAGCCATACTGGAGGGAGACCGGAATCGTCTGCTGCGCATGATCATGTTTACATGTACAATTTAGTATTTTATTTCTGTGTTTTCTTTGATATTAAACCGAGTAAAATGATGAATTGCTGCAGGGTATATGATAGAGAGAAGATGACTAATTTAACAAGCGTTCACAGACTGCCTGCAGTGGTAACAATCCAAGGTGTAGGGACGAAAATCGTAAACGGAGGAGAGACCGAGGAGTGGCTTTGAATCAAGACTCATCGGACAAGTAAAGGATAAAACTAATTTATTTTACAGCAAAGAATGAAGACCCAGCTGTGCAGCCTTTACCATAAAAGAAAAAAAAAACAGTAGAAAACCAAAGACCGAGGCCGTGTATAAGTTTGGAGCGCACGTACACTGCATTAGTTACTAGTGCCTAAAAAGTTTGGGTGGAGAGTGTGTTGTAAAAACGTGTGGAAATACCCCAGCAAGGTTTCGACTTTCATTATGAAGACTCACTTCATTGCCTTGGGTGTAATTTGTTATCAGTTAAGGTGCTCTTCGGATTTTATCTGCTGTCATCTACCTCTTTAATACCTGGTTAGCATTATTGTCAATTAGTGTCAAGGCTACAGGACAATGTACACAGCTCAGCTGGGCCAATTAAATCAATTAGCTGTGTCATGTGTACTTGGAAGTTGGTGGCTTGATTTTAGATTTGGTGTAGTGTTAAGAGTAAATATGTTTTGTAAGTATATATTCTAGCTCAGGTATCATTTAATTGACATATAACTTAATGAAATGAATTTGAAAAATGTTAAATTCTGTGTTTTCCTACTGTATTTCAAGTTACAATATGAATAAAAATAACTATTGTTACCTTTTTTTTGTTAATTTACATTTAGGAAATTGATCTGGCATATTCCCACCAAACCACACTGAATGATTGGGTGCAGGTAAATCTTGATTATAAAAAATAAATAAATAAATAAAATTAAAAAAAATAAATAAATAAATAAAAAAAAAAAAACAGGTGACAGGTACAAAAGGCAGCTAGATGGCACACAAGGTAGAAGCAGCAAAATAATATTCATATCTTTGTGACCAGCTGTGGAGACAGGATCTGAACATCAGGAGAATGAAATTCAGTGCATGACAAGAGTAATTTAATTTGATTTGTTTGTTTATTTAATTGTTCATTTGTCGTTTTAAAGTTGTTATCCTGATAGCTTGCATACAACAAGGATACGTATTCTATTTATTACGAATTATGAGCAGAAGCACAAGAAGAAATGAAAACACTGTTTTTTTCTCATATTTTTAAAGGCTAAATGGAAAACTTTGCAAGAAATATAATACTTTGTATGGTGCACTTCTCACAGATGGTCTGATATGCAGAAACAGATGGCCGGCTGTCCTGTATCAAGAAAAGATTTAGCTCTTGTAGGTTGCGCATTTTTTAAATTGTGACCACCAGTTGTGGAATTCTCCTAAATGAAATTACAAACTGCTTAGTAACACCATCTAAGGACTTATATGTACATACCTACACACAATTATTGCACACAGCACATTGTGAGTCTTCAATCAAGCATTTCTCTAGACATAGATAAAAATAAACCAAACAGGTTTCTCAGATTATGGTGACTTGATTCGTCTTAATATTCTCATGTACATGTTGCATTGCATCATTAAAAGTATGGAAATATTTTTCATGTCAGTGTTATCAACTGAAAGGAAAGGGACCCTGATAATCTGTCATTGAATTGTGCAACAATGTCAAAAATGTTTTGCATTTTATGTTTACTTTTATTCATACAAAATGTGCATTTTCCTATATTTTTAATCAAATGAAGATCAATTCATGAACTGACTTGTTGTTATGCTACATTGGATATCATAAATTAATAAGTTTGAAAAATGCCTTGCTTCTGTGAAAGTCTGGACTAAATAATAATATGCTAACAATGTTGCTAATGTGAATGGTTGAATTCATGGCAAAATATTGAACTCTCAAACAACATTCATGCTACATGTACTTCCTAATGAACCAAAATGAAGTACAAGAATGCTGAAATAATTTCTGACAGCTTCATGATGTTCAGTTAAATCATTTCTGACAGCAATATTTCTTGTTATAAGACAACCCTGCATACAGTGTACTGTCTTCTTTGAGTCCTAGAGGGTCGATCCCAATGGTCAGCTCAAATTTCTCCTTACATCTACCCTTTATGTAAAAATTTGCTTCTATGAAAGGCTGAACTTATGATTACACAGTAAACTCTCTAAAACTATAACTGTTATTATCCAGTGAACAAGAAAAATGAAGTACAAGATAACTGAACTAGCTTCTGACAATTCCACGATGTTGGGATAAGTCAGGATTTCTCGTCTTTGGACTGTCCTGACTTTATATGGGTCGATCCCGCTGATCAGCTGTAGTTTTCACATGTATATACACTTTTCCTTTTGGTGTACTTGATCGCGATACGAATTTTAGTTTATTTTATTTGGTTTACCTATATTTACGCTACTAATCCCCGTCGTTCTTTCCCTCCAGTATGGCTGCTGGACTAGTGTTACGGAGCAAATATGACGTCACTGTAATGGGTTAATACGTATCTACTTCAAACTAACGGATACTTTAAAGTCTGTTCCATGCCTTTTCTTATTTAAATGATGAACAGTATTGTTTTATTCACTGTTAACGTTAGCTTTGCAAAGGGTAAATTTGCAAATGTACAATTCTGTATACATGTGCCACTTTTGTCCTTGGCAATACAGTTAATACAATTAGTTATACAAATTTATCAAATTTACAGGAAAATAAGTAAACACTCACAGTCTCTAACACAGTACACAATGTCCGCTATCAAAATCAATAGTTCAATTAACAAAGCAAACGCACCCCAGTTTTAAGTAAGTCTACGCCCCATTTAGCGCCCATTTCGATCGGAAACCAGAGAGGCGTCATGGCTATTTCATAAAATTATATTTAGGAAAGGACCAGGTGCTACAACAGACCTGCAGTCGGACTGTGATCTTTTCTTTACGGCGGACAGTTTTGGCCAGCACTGATGGAGGAAATATACGCAGGAGTTCACATAAAAGTAACTTTCGACCTGAAACAATGGTCATTTCATACTTTTCCCAGAACAGGTCCAGCACTGGCACTTAATAGGTTTATACCCGCATTATCGTGGTAAACAGACCTAAACTGAAGGTTAAACAGATAAGACCGCGTTTCGACTTCTTTCGTGCAGCCAACTCTAGTGCTGTGCCCGGGTGCTGGTGTTGGACGTATTCCATTACTCAACAAATGGGTAGCGATAATGTATGGACTTCATTCTGTTTTTTAGAATAATGGCGCAGAGAGTTTCACAAACACCCCGAGTTTCAGAGATAACTGGATATGTAATGCTATTATCATTAAGTCCTAAAATTTTTTGGTTGAAAATTATTCCAAACTTTAAGACCAACTTTGCTATATACTAGCACTTAGTCCTGACATTAATCAGAAGTATTTAAACTTAATGCAATGATGCACCCGTTCTGTAAAAGAGAGAAAATATTGCAACTATTTTGGACCAAATAAGATTCATCTTTTTAATGGACTGTTGCAATTTTACACTTAAATTAAGTAGGCTTAATTTTGATCTAAAATATTGTGAAGCCTTTTACGGTTTCTAGAGGCAAACTGACAAAAGTTTCCAATAACGACTTACTCTGAGAGTGGCTCCATTGCTCTCTGCCTCATTTGTTTCTCTGCACCTAGCACCTTTTAGCTTCATAGATTTTAAAATAATACGCACCAGATAAAGGACACAGTGCAAGAGCTTGCACACAATAGCGGCGCGTCACCAGTTATGCATGAATAAGTTCAGCTCTACAAACCAACAAAACGCGGGTACACAATAATCGATTCACGTATCTATTCATTTATTTGTCCCGAGATAACACAACAGCGAGGACAACTTATCGAGCGTAGGTTAACGTTAGCCTTTTCCAATAACGACTAATATGGTATACGTTAACATCACACTGCAATTTTTAAAATAAATGACATATTATCTCGTTTTTCTGGAAGGGCTGAAAAAAGGCAACTGCAAGTAACACCAAATTACACAATATCGTGGTAATTCGATAATACAGGAGAAAATGGAACGAGAAAAAATATTCATTTTTTTAGAAAAAATATCATTAAGAAGTCATAAATGAATATGAATCTTAGACTGGGTTCCCATACTTAGATCGATCCATCTGGATCAACCTAACTCCCTGGGGTTTCACACTATATTGCTATCAGCTCAAGAGGCTTAAATTTCTGTCACGCCTACCGAATCAGCTAAGGGTAAGGAAAATTACCGCCTAACAGTTTTACTAGACGTGACAGACATTTAAACCGGTCAAGTTGACAGAAATTTAGTGAGACTCCCCAGGGAGATAGATCGATCCAAATATCTGTGGAAAAGGTCCCTTAAACAGTTACCCATATTCAGAAATACATGCAAGAAGGCGCAGGAAGAACATGGTTTTACTATGTTAGTAACATTGTCGAACATGTGGGACACTAGGCTGCTTGGGTCCTCACCCCCCCACACACCCCGATGTATTTGAAATTGGCAAGTAAAGTATTGATCAACGAGTTCGTCAATGATGTCCACTGTCTGAATAAAAATACCAATATTACATACATGTAGGTGCCACGCATGTTTTTTTCCATGCTTAAAAGCACTTATAATATCCCACTAAGTTTCTTTTGGTTGACAGAGTTACAGGTTTTGCCCTGCCCGTAAGCTAAAAGTAACAATTGGCTTCGTTGAGTTGGGTTGATCGACGTACACATCCACAGTTTCTTCGTCCAAGTCAATTATTGCTGGAAAAGAAAAACAAAGATGTGTTACCTGGTCGATACCATAGGTAATTATGCATAGGCTACAAAATAGTAATGTGCTTTGTACGTTTCATTTGGAGAAAAAGTAGGTACATTGTATTTCCGAACATTCTAGATGGATTAGGGAATGTACACCAATGATGTAAAGACCCTATTTCCGAGATAAAGGGTGTATCAGAGCATGATATCATTAAAATGCTTATTTTTAAAGCTAATAACGTTTTAACGATAAATTTTCTGCAGGTGTTTAGCAGTCTCCGTGTCTCACCAACTGCCATAGTGGCCAAATAATCCGGTTCTCTTCCGTCACGAAACAAAGGAAAATCTTTGTCGGTGACGTCAGACATGATGTCACACACTGCGCTGAGGTTTTTCTCCTTTGTTGTGACGTCACGATGGTGTAACAATTCCTCTACTCTCTTCTGACGGCGCTCACTGCTGCGACATGGATAGTTTGGCACTTTTAGGTCTTGGTAGCTGTAAAAATGAATTTCCATCAGTACCAGTACTCTAGCCAACACTGAGGGGCAAATGTGCACAGTTACATTAATGTACAGGTTCTAGCCGTTGCCGGCAATTTCAGAAGAAGGGGGGACGTCTTTTTCTGAAAAATGGACCTTTTACCATGAAATCTTCGTGAACCTTGATAAAATAATACCCAGAAGAGACCTTTTCCTGGCAAAAGGGGTTGTTCTCTCGAACTCAAAAGGACCTGAGGTTCGTAAGAAGGAAATTCATTTCCATGCTATTATTTTTGTCTGTTCATCTAATAATATGTTAAGCTTCAGTTTGTGAGATGAACAAATGCAAAAATTGTTTGATGTGGAAGTAAATATGACGTCACAATGGGCACTTCGTGGTAATTTAGAGAGATTTATCAATAATATTGCAACACTACCCAAATCAGCTGACGAGGATTTAGACAATAACGATAAACAAAAAACTATGACGTACACATTGAAATGAAAATTAAATCCTGAACTTATAGTCTTTTCAGCGATACAGGCTCCATTTTCACTGCTTGCTAACTCAACAGAAAACATGCGGATGGGCTTTTCTTGCTCTTCAGTGCATGGAGGAAGCCAGGTGATGTTAAAATTGAAGCCTGAACCAATACCTGGAAGTACAGGTATACCCTATTACTCTACTGTCTAGTTTACTTCAGTTTTAACTTAGGTCTGATTACGATGAACAGGGCTACTTTATAGGAATTTTTGCACCACTCTTGGTTTTTGATGGCATCACTTCGAGAAGAGATGATTTTAGTAAGCTATGTGCTTATTTATAAACTACTCTCTGTGAATGATTTCCCTGTACATGGCACCAAGTGTGCAAAATATATGTTAAAATCTTAAGTCTTGATCTTGTTGATACAAGTCTTATCAGCACTGCAGTATCGCTTTTTTTTAATGCACAACAAACGGTTATCGCTCCATATTTAATACTACCTGGGTTTTGATTGAAGAGCGCCCAAAGTTCTGTTTCACTTCTCACGCCAAGCAGGGCTCTATTATAAACACGCCGAGCTGAAAAATAAATTACTATGTAAATGTTTACAGTTATGCCACATATAATCTCTTTCAGTTGTCTTTTTTAGTGTAAGTATCATTTATCAATATAATGGCTTTTGAATAGTAGTTAAATTAATTTTACTACAGGGTAATAGTCTGAACCCCGATCGATGTTTTATCAGTTTTATTATAAATGCAAAAACATGTATTTTGAATACAGTAAAATACGGTAGTCTAATCAAGTCACTCTAAAATCGTGTGCAAATTTGCTATCTATACACCTTTGAGTTCTAAAATTCTGTTTAAGCGATGGACAGTAGCAAATTTCATTCGTAACGGCAAAAAAAAAAAAAAAAAAAAAAAAAAAAAATGATTTAAATGAGGAAATCCACAGCGGTTTTAGAGCCCGTTACTTTCTCAATAATTTTAGATAGTGTAAGGCTTGGTGATGTAGGGAACAAAGTCGATGTGTTCGGGTTACTGTTATTATGTTGTTGTTGTTGTTGCTGCTGTTATTTTTGTTACTTTGCTATACTTTAGTCTAACGCGTACCGCATGCACCTTAAGTCTTAGACTGGGTTCCCACAGATTTAGATCGATCCATCTGGATCTACCTAACTCCCTGGGGGTTCACACTAAACTGCTGTCAGCTTCCGGGAGCCGAGCGCGCACACAAGTTAATTACCCCCTTACAGCTTTTAGTAGGCGGGACAGACATTTAAGCCGGTTAAGCTGACAGCAATCTAGTAAGACTCCCCAGGGGGATAGATCGATCTAAATATCTGTGGGAATGGTCTCTTATAGAATACTTACGTATGGCATTGTCCGATACCCAGACTTGCGGTACATAATTCGCTGTAAACACGAGTCCATGAACGTTGAAACCAAATGCATTTCCTGGCAGGCATCCTGAAACACGAACATCACATTCACCAACTTAAAACATAAAAACATAGCCCTTTTTTAAAAATAACCCAATCAAATCTTTTAAATCTATAAAAAAGCACATTTGTTAGTAAGCCCTGAGTGGTTGAAAAAATTAATGTTCTAATCGCCTTCTGGATACAAGTGAAATTCATGTACGTTCAGTACTAAAAAAGAATTGGCTAAATAGAGTTTTAAAGGCACGGTATTTTATCATGTCTCTAGCACTGGCGGATCCAGGGATTTGTTGGTGGCGGGAGACTGGGAGGGGAAATAGAAAAGAGCCGTAAACAGCGCTTTATTTTGACAGAGAATATTAGTTTAAAGTGAACAAACAAAACCTTACCTGGGTACGCAAATGCTGTGAAATTTTCAACTTCGTCACCAGATTTCTCAGACACAATGGTGACTTGTAGGATATAACAGAAGTTCTGCATGACCGGGTTTGCGTCTTCTGAGTGTGCCATTATGTGTGCCTCCTAAAATATTTTACATAGTCAAGTTCTATTTATATCATTATAGGAAGTAAATATATCAAATACTAGTAGTAATATGAAAATCAATGACAAGTGCTGTCCTTTAAGACCAACAACTATTGAACTTTACTTTCTAAAGTGCAGGTATAGTAAAGAGCAAATTGAAACCAAAGCTTTCTCTTTTGTAAAAGACATGTTTAATATCTGCGCATTCTCTCTTGTTCACATTGCCATAGAACAAGTTGGGGGGGGGGGGGGCTTTTNTCCTAAAATATTTTTACATAGTCAAGTTATATTTATATCAGTATAGGAAGTAAATGTATCAAATAATAGTAGTAATATGAAAATCAGTGACAATTAACTGCTGTCCTTTAAGACCAACAACTATTGAACTTTACTTTACTTTCTAAAGGCACCTTCATCATTAGAGGGTGGTTATTATTATTTGCTTTTCCGGGCCAAAACATTTACATATAGTTTCTATTATAAAGCAATACATTTTTATTGCTGCTAATAATATGCAGTCGAGAGTTACTAGTACACAATAGTTGTATAAAATGTGCTATAAAAATCAGTATTTCTTACTAAGAGTACTAAGAGGAGTAAGTCGATCTCAGTATAGCCATTATACATGTAACTGGTTACTTCAAGTAAACAAATCTGCAAAGTTATTATTTTTTTTTAGTTTATCAAAGCAAAGACTGCGTTAGGGCACGCTAAATGCACCTTTTGTAGTGAGTTGTAATATTTTGTCTTGTAGTGTAGTACAGCTAAGTGTATTGTATTGTACAGTGGACTGTAGTAGTGTTGTACTGTATCTCTTGTCCCACAAACGATAGCTTGTTTGTAGTTTTGTTTTTCATCGTAAGCACGCGTACATGTACCTTTGTAGATCATGCATTTTATTTATTTGTGCATCTGTTTGTTCTTCATCATACCTGATTGAAGTCCAATTGTGCGCCATCTGCAATCCCCCTCAGTTCCTCAATGTACTGTGGATAAACCGTCTCAGAGGCGTGAAGGTATCTCTGGAACACCCTGTTGCCATCCGCGGTATTGTAATATGGCACCAACGTTTTCTGAAGAAATCCGTCCCTTTCGACATAGTCTTGAATGAGGCTTTTAAATACTCTACCCTGTAAGATGAAGACAGTTATGGTGGTTCATACACATACACACAAACAGTCGCACACACACACAAAACACAGAGAGAGAGAGAGAGAGAGAGAGAGAGAGAGAGAAAGAGAGAGAGAGAGGGGGGGGGGGTTAAGGCCCAGTTCTTTTAGAGGGGGCATTTTGATCACTGTGCATGGATATGGACCGATACCAAAACAGGACGATGCTCAAAATCAATCATAACATTCAACATTTCAATCACATTTAAAGCAGTACGACTCCGCTTTTTAGACGTCTTATTTTAGAGGCACACAATGAGCATTAGATCTTAATATATATAACAAAAAAAAAGTACTTTGTCCTTCACCATCACTTTGTCATCAGGGTAAACATGAAAAGGGTTAACGAAAATCATGATTCCACGGAAAATATAATGTGCTTTTCTTAAACTCCAGTACCGCTGTTTTATCACAGCAATTAAGAGCCTATGTAGGCCTATAGGGGCCGATAGGGTAACGTTACGTTCACTTTCTCATTACAACGCTGCCAGTTTACATTATTTATCGTAAGCTGACCTCATTTTTATTGGGAGCGAGGGTTGTGCATCAATTATACACATACGATGCTCTAAATGTCAGTCTTATCTAGCAGCTCACACCACCAATTTATCGTTGGAAATTTATGCATACAATTATCAGCAACTTAGCAAAAAAGAAAAATAAATAAATAAATAAAAATAAATAGGCCTAAATGAATGAATGAATAAAATAAATAAACACAATACGCTTTGACTCTGGGGCACACTGGTGAACTGTTCTTCTGCAGAGATTTAAAACGTTTCAATGAAAAGAGATTCATATTTTTTATTGTTCATTATATTATAATTATTATTATTTTTTTGAAATCCCTTAAGAAGGCCTAGGGGCCAAAAGCTTGGATAAGACATTACATCCTTTATTAAATAGATCTTTACAGATGCATCATTACGATGACTCATTTATTAATGATAAGAGACGAACTAGTAATTTGGTCATGATTGAACAGTTAAAAAACATGGTCCAGTGTTAATTCTGTGTACTCACCACTTGATATCCAACTTCATAGTGCGTTCCTCTTGCGTAAAGAACTGGGAGGCTTCCACCTCTCTTAAGCTTCAGACAGTCCAGTCCGCCTTTGTCGTCCATGTGCAATGCTTCAGTTCAGAAATATAGACGAACTTCGATCGGCATGCTAACTAGAGACATGAAACCTCTCTTGTGCGAATGCAACAGTTGGGTTAAAATACTTGTATGCGGTAAAACACGATGTAGGCCTACATGTATTTGCCATGACCTACTTGTGACCAACTACTTTATCAGTTGCATTCCTGCTCCTAAGCGATGTCCTACTGATCACAGTGCGTTTGGCATAGTTTGAAGTCAGGTTTAGTTCGATCTTCACATGCAAGTAGGCCTACTAGTAGGCCTACATGTACGCCAATCCATATTTAAGACGTGATGCCCTTCTTGTGCAAATGAGACAGTCGGGGGAAAATAGATCTACCTGCATGTGGTAATATGATATAACCTACCTGTGAGAAACTGCTAAAGCGTCATTCACACTAGCAAGTTAACCGCAGTCCAGTTAACCCCGATAGCCTCGCGTTCCTTTCTTTACCTTCTCACTGATACGGCAGCGACAGTCTTTCAACAACTTCCGGTTAAGCATGCGCACTATTGTTCTCATAAGAGAGTAATGTGAACATCTTGGCGGGAGTGCGAGTAGCGAAAAATGTTAAGCTGCACAATTTTTTTTCTCATGTCAAGAAAAAAATTCCATTAGAAGAAATGCATCAAAATTTCAGCAACGGCTTGGCAGCTCATGAGTACTAGAACGACGCACGTATTACCGATTATGAAAAAAGACCTATGGGCTCCTATAAGAAATTGGCCCAATTTCTTATAGGATCCTATAGGATCGTAAAGGATCCTATAGGATTTTCCGTTAGGGACGTCTGATACAATCAGTGTTAGTATAACCCATGGCAGATAGCATGTCGCTGGTTGACCGAGATTGGGCCACAGACTCTTCTAACTACGGCGGTCCACCAGCTACTGTCGCCGGTGGGCCTACGTTGGCCCACCAGCGACATATATCTTGAGCGGCCTGTAGTGTTTTACATTACAATGCAATGAGTAATCTGATGTATTTGTACGCATGCGCAGGGGAGTTACTGATAAAGTGAGTGAAGAGTCAACAGGTGTATTTTTGTGTCTCGTGTTGTTGGTCCATAACCATGCAGTGATTATAACATTACACGGCCCAACGTCGGCCCACCAGCGACAGTAACTGGTGGGCCGACGCAGGCCCACTGCTTTTCTTATGTTTTCTTTTACCATTATTATTATTATTCATTTATGAATTGATTAATTATTTTTTTATACTTATTATCATTATTATTATATAATGGTCAAAACATATTGTTATATTTTTTAAAATCTNTTGGAACTAAAAGTACCAACTTCTGAATTGGTCTGTCTAAAAACACAATTGGATCTAACCTTCGACCAGCAGAATCTAATGCATGAGTACTCATTGCTACTTTGACTTTTCTGACATGCTCATCATCACTGGGATAAACACACTCAACTCTTGCTAATGACCAAAGATTTCTTGGTAAATTCTCATCTTTAATCAAAACAATATCTCCAACACAGAAATTGCGTCTAGGCCTTAACCATTTTTGTCTCACTTGTAAGGTTTGCAAATATTCTTTGTGCCATCTAAACCAAAACTGATTACATAAATACTGAACCCTTCTCCAGTGTTTTCTACAATACATGTCTGCTTTCTGGAATTCACCAAGAGGCGGGAGAATAACATTTGTTTTGGTGGTTAACAAGTGGTTGGGGGTTAATGGCTCAAGGGAACATGGGTCATTTAGGTTGTCAGAGGTAAGAGGTCTGCAATTAACAATTGCGGTCACTTCATGCATCAATGTCCGTAACGACTCGTCGTTCAATTGAGACTGTGACTGCTCAAGCAGAGAAGACAAAACATTTCTCACAGTTCAGATTTGACGTTTCCAGACTCTTCCTGCATGGCTGGACGACGGTGCATTAAACTCAAATTGAATGTAATCGCATTGTCGTTCCCTCAAAAATTCTGACAAAGTATGCTGATCCATTTCACTGAGTGCTCTTTTAAGCTCATTGTTTGCCCCAATAAAATTTGTACCACAATCTGAACGCAGCAATCGGATAGGTCCACGTATTGCTTGAAATCGACGCAATGCGTTTATGAAGGAGTCCGTTGTCAGCGCGGTTGCCACCTCAATGTGAATAGCCCGTGATACAAGACATGTGAACAGCACACCGTAACGTTTGACCTCCTTTATTCCTTCCTTCACGGTGAACGGACCAAAACAATCAACGCCGACGTATGTGAACGGGGGGCTTTCTGTCAAGCGATCTGCAGGTAAATTTGCCGTCCTTTGCTCTCCCACTGAACCTCTCGTCTTTTTACATGCAACGCAGTTGGATATCAGTTTCGACGCGGCTGAGCTAGCTGAAATGATCCATATGCCAGTTGACCTGAGGTAGTTAACTGTCATTCCTCTGCCTTGATGACCGCATGATCGGTGCGCGTGCTGTTAACATAGCGATGTAATATGATGAGATTTGGGTAATATAATAGGATGACGAATGTCGTAAGCAGCATAGGGTGACAAGCGAATTCGTCCTCCAACCCTCAGAAGTCCTTCCTTATCAAAGAAAGGGTTGAGCTTTCTCAGAGACTGTTCCTTATCTCCATTCGGGAATGCCTCGGCCTGCACGTGTTTGAAAATTTCATTTCGCGCTCCTTTTATATCGTCAACAGTGATTGGCGAGTGTGCCTTCTGACCCTCTCGACGCAAAATTCGGCGATAGCGTAGGCAGACGGCGATGGCCCGTTGCGCCTTGTACCAATCAGAGAAACGTTCAAGTCGATCCAGAATTGACACGTGGGATGACGTAGACAACGCTGATACTGCTTGCCTCACTTCTGCGTCGTCTTGGAGAAGAGAAAAATCATTTTGTTCCGTAGAAGCGGTCGTTGTTTCCCATAAAAAGGAAGCCAATGAAACCAATGCTCATGATTAGCTAGATCGACGGCAGATAAACCTCGCGAGGCAACATCAGCCGGGTTGGTCTCTGATGAAACGTACGACCACTGGTTTGGCTCGGTGAAGTCCCTAATCACTTGTACTCTGTTGGCTACGTAAGTGTGGAATCGACGTGCCGCGTTATTGATGTACCCGAGTACTATCCGACTATCTGTCCAAAAGTATTCAGTCAGTTTCTCAAATTCCAGCTCGGAGCGTAGGAGAGACGCTACTTTCACAGATACGGTGGCTGCTGTCAGCTCAAGTCTCGGAATGGAAACGGCCTTAAGCGGTGCTACCCTGCTTTTACCCATGAGTAAACAACAGTGTATTTGTCCTCTTTCGTTCATGAGCCGTACATACGAACACTCTCCGTAGCCTCCTGCGCTGGCGTCATGGAGATGGTGCATTTCAGTAATTGACACTGAACCAAACTCAGGCGGCTTGTAACAGCGTTTCAAACTGATAGATTCCAATGAGCGAAGACCAAGCCTCCATTGCTCCCACCGTGATCGAAGGTTGTCGGGTATGGGGTCGTCCCAGTCTAAATTCTCAGCACACAGTTCCTGTAGAATGCGCTTGCCGACCATGACAACTGGAGCAACAAATCCAAGTGGGTCAAAGATCGAGCTGATCGTAGACAATACACCACGTCTAGTTAATGGCCTATCTTTAAGTAGTATTCGGAACTGAAGCTGGTCAACTTCTACACACCATTGAACACCAAGGGCTCCCTCAGGTAAGTACTTGTCTGCATTCATGTCAATGACATCACAGTCGTGGGCTCGATCACCAAGTGGAACTGATTGGATGACTGCATTAGAGTTCGAGATGACCTTGTGAAGACGAATGCCTCGCTTCTCACAAAGCTGTCTGGATCGGCGCAGAAGTTCTATGGCATCTGATTCAGTAGCAGTCGACTTCAATCCATCGTCCACATAAAAATTTCTGTGAATAAAGTGTTTCACATCGGAGCCGCATTCATGTTCGTGTAAACTGGCCATCTTTTTTAAAGCAAATGATGCGCAGCTGGGAGAAGAGGTTGCTCCGAATAAATGAACACACATTCGGTAGTCAACAGGTACTGATTCAAAGTCATTGTCATTAAACCACAGAAATCTCAAATAGTCTCGGTGTTCTTCGTTGACACGAAATTGATAAAACATTTTCTCAATGTCACACGTGAACGCGACCGTTTCATGGCGAAATCTCAGCAGAACACCAATAAGAGAGTTGGTCATGTCAGGTCCCTTCAGTAGATGTCCGTTCAACGACGTGTCCTTGTATCGTGCACTACAATCGAATACAACACGCAGTTTTTGTTTATTGTACACTCCATGGTGGGGAATATACCATGTACATTTACTGACGTCACTCGTGACTCTTTCAGCGTGTCCGTTGTCTATCAGCGACTGCATGAATTTCGCGTATTCGCGAGCGTAGTTTGGGTCCTTTGTAAAACGCGATTGCAAAGTCGACAAGCGTTTCACAGCTAATTCTCGGTCATTGGGTAGAACAGGATTCTCCTTTCTAAACGGCAATGGCATTTCGTAATGTCCGTCGTTCGTTACGTGGATACCTTTCTCGAGTATGTCTATAAACCGGCAATCTTCACGGGAAGGCGCGACAGTATCAAGCCTTTGATCATTAAAATCGAGTTCTAGCATTTGTGCAACGTGCTTTGGTACAAATATTTCCTTGATACGATTCGGTTTGCAGAAGATCACTTTCTCGTTCATTTGGTATGACGACTTGACTTCTGGGGACACTTCATGGATCATCACACGATGACTTATGAAACCTGGGTCACCATCGTAGTTAACGAGTCCCGTTCCCACTATACTCCAACCGAGGCTAGTACGAAGAGCGTAAGGGCCGTCATTCATAGGGGGTATGACCTCTCGCGGGAATAAAGCGGATGGGCAGTTGTACCCGATGAGTAAGCCTACTTCAAAGTCGCCTCGAGGAATCAATTTATCAGCAATCGGTTGCAGATGGGGCCACTGGTGGGCGATGCCGGGGGATGGAATATGATCGCGATTGGCTGGTATCACGTCTCTCGTGTAACAGGGTGGTAAGGTAATTCTCTCGGAACCGTCATATGCACGCACGGATAAACCGGAGATCTTGCTACTGTCCAAAATCTGATTACACGCAGACATGGTTGACAATGACAGTTTAACAGGTGTGCCTTGTAACTGTAGGGAATCAGAAGTGTTTCTCAGAACAAAAGAAATATCTGACTGAGTGTCAAGCATGGCGTAAATGAGCTGTTCTCTTTCTGGGTTACTTTCATGCGAGATCCAAACTGGCACTATCATGGTTGACTGACTGATAGAAGTACTGTTTGAAGTATTGACAGCAGTATTGACCACATTGACCTTAGTAACTGCATTCTGGCGTTGAAAATCAGGGTCATGTAACGATGTAGGGTGTTTTTTGTGACATTTTGAACAGGTAAGTTTATTCAAGCACCCTTTAGCAATGTGATTAGGCTCCAAACATGCCATGCAAAGACGTTTGCTGAATAAAAGTTGTTTTCTCTCGGATAAGGGCATTTCTAAGAAAGCACTACATTCATTCAGCTTGTGGGTTTGTTGACAATGGGGACATACCTGATCAGTGATCACAGCGAAACTTGAACCTGGTGGATGTGCACTGGTCCTTGGCGTTGGGGGATGTGATGTGTGAGTTCTCTTCATAGGTGACGTGCGTGCTGTCTTTGTCTGTGGAAAGCGAGTAGTCTGCACACTGGGACCTTCGGATTTAAGTGCCTCCCTTCCGAATACCGGGTCGTTGACTGCCTCTGATTCATGTTCAATAAAGGTGACCAAATCTGAAAACACTACAGACCTTTTTTCATCTCTGACAACCTTTGCAACAATACCCCTCCAACGGTTCTGGGAGTACATGGGGAGCTTTTTAACAATAGCTTGCATGTGGGGGGCATGGTTGAGAACTTGTAAATTATGCAAATGAAGCATTGCTGAATGGCACTTAACTAAATACACTGAAAGCCCCTTGAGACCAACACTATCCTCCGCTCTAACAGCGGGCCATGCTAACAATTTATTCAAGTATGCCATTGAAATTTTGTATTCGTTACCATACTCTTTATGCAACAATTCACGTGCCCTTTTGTACCCATCTGGCATATAGAGACAACCACTTATCAATTCTTTCGGTTCACCATCTGTGTATTGATAAAGGTAGTACAATCTATCAGTGTTTGATGCAACTCTAGATTCTATTCTAGTTTCAAAAGAAATCATGAATGCACTATAAGTCAATACATCACCCTTAAACACTGGAATCTCTGGCTGCGGTAAAGGCGGGATGCACTGCACAAGATAGGGCACATCTTGTTGGCGAGGATAGAAGACGGGCGTTCCGTGAGGATCATTTGGAAGGAATGCATTTGGTACCTCTGGTCCGCGAGAAAAGTAGCCGGGTGTACCGCGAAGATAGGCTGGAAAGTCACTGGTCACGTCTTGTCGCGACTGGCGAGGAACAAAGTCTGACACACCATAGGTATCCGTATGGAGCATTTCACCTTTCGCACCGTGGGAATCCGCCGTGACAGCTACACCGTGAGGATCCTTGCCGTGAGTCACACCGTGGGGGTCCATTCCGTCAGCTGCACTATGGGGAACCTTGCCGTCAGTTACACTTTGGGGGTCCATTCCGTCAGTCACGCCGTGGGGGTCCATTCCGTCAGTCACGCCGTGGGGGTCCATTCCGCCAGTCACACCGTGGGGGTCCATTCCGTCAGTCACACCGTGGGTGTCTGTGTTAAATTGACCTTGAACAGTTTCTACGTATTTTTCAGTCTTTGTTTTATCCATAGGCAGTTTAAAAAGTGATTCTAGATCAGAGTTTGAGCTATCTGAATCTGTGTCAAGGGCGGCGGCTTCTGCCGCAGCGGCTGCTGCATCCTTCTGAGCCGAAATTAATTCAAATTCAGCGTCCAGCAAAGCTCTTTGGCGTTTAATTTCAGTTTGTTTCTTCACATATTCCAAATTTACCTCTAAAGCTTTCGCCTTGGCCTTGGCTTTTGCATAGGATAAAGTGGACGCTCTTGACCGTGTTTTCAGCGAAGAGATGACAGATTTTTCCGTGTCTCCTTCCATATTCCCCGGAAATAGTTTTATTGTTGCCGTGACCGTACCGTTAAAAACTCAAAAAGCGTTCTTGGTTTGAATAGATTGTATTTCGCTGAATAAACTGATGAAAACTAATGAAAACTAATGAAAACTTATGAAAACTAATGAAAACATAAAACTATATGATCCCGGAGACCCGTGTTGCTGAAACTGAAAATGTAAGGGCGGGATCTAAACTATATACCCGAGTGTCATGTGACATGAACACATCTCACTGACTACTCGCACTAATCACTGCTCCACGTGTTGCAGTTACATATATATATATATATATATATATATATATATATATATATATATATATATATATATATATATATATATATTTGATACTGTACGTAAAATAAACAAATGGATAACAAGCTGGTTAACAAACTTATACTATCTCACCTGTGTGTTAACTAATACTGCCGTGCAGCCATCTTGCGGGTTGTTAACTGCCAGACGTACTGATATTTCTGGTTCAAGGTGAAGTAAAAATAACTACAAATGAAATAGGAGAAAGTAGTTTAATAAATATAAGAAATAAGAAATTTCAAGAGAATGATTTTTTCTCTTTTAGTCGTTTGGTACCTTCATTATTAGGGGGTGGTATTATTACTTGCTTTCCGACCCAAAACATTTACCCATAGTTTCCATTAGAGAGCAATATATTTTTATTGTTGTCAATTATATGCAGTCGACAGTTACTAGTACACAATAGTTGTATAAAATGTGCTATAAAATCAGTATTTCCTTCCAAGAGGAGTACGTCGATCTTAGTAAATCCATTATGCATGTAATTGGTTACTTCAAGTAAACAAACCTGTAAATTTTTTTTTTTTTTGGAGTTAATCAACGCAAAGGCTGCGTAATAGCAAACCAGATGTACATTTTGTAGTGCGTTGTTGTAATATTTTTGTATTGTAATGTGTATTGTATCGTAGTGTAGTATAGTGTGTGGTGTTGCACTGTATAAATGTATTGTATTGTGTTGTGTTGTATTGTATTTTATTATATTGCCTTACTGTAGGCCTACTGCCTGCCTGGCGCAGTGTAGTGTGTGTTGTGTTGTGTTGTGTTGTGTATTGTACTGTATCTCTGTCCCACACAACGTTAGACTGTGTGTACTAGTAGTTATTTTCATCGTGATCATGTAGATCATGAATTTTATTTATCTTTTTGTTCTGTAACATACTTGAATGAAGTCCAATTGTGCACCATCTGCAATCCCCCTCAGTTCCTGAATGTACTGTGGATAAACCGTCTCAGAGGTGTGAAGGTATCTCTGGGACACCCTGTTGCCATCCTCGGTATTGTAATATGGCACCAACGTTTTCTGAAGAAATCCGTCCCTTTCGACATAATCTTGAATGAGGCTTTTAAATACTCTACCCTGTAAGATGAAGACAGTTATGGTGGTTCATACACATACACACAAACAGTCGCACACACACACACACACACACACACAAAACACACACACAGAGAGAGAGAGAAAGAGAGAGAGAGAGAGGGGGGATTTTTAAGGCCCAGTTCTTTTAGAGGGGGCATTTTGATCACTGTGCATGGATATGGACCGATACCAAAACAGGACGATGCTCAAAATCAATCATAACATTCAACATTTCAGTCTCATTTTAAGCAGTACGACTCCACTTTCTAGACATCTTTTTTAGAGGCACGTGCACACAGTGAATATAAGCTCTTAATATATATAACAAAAAAGTACTTTGTCCTTCACCATCACTTTATCATCAGGGTAAACATGAAAAGGGTTATCAAAAACCATGATTCCACGGAACATATAAAGTGTGTTATTCTTAAACTCCCGCTAACACGGAGGATGCTATTTTATCACAACAATTAACACGGAGGATGCTATTTTATCACAGCAATTAACACGGAGGATGCTATTTTATCACAGCAATTAACACGGAAGATGCTATTTTATCACAGCAATTAAGAGCCGTATGTATGGGGGCCGATAGGGTAACGTTACGTTCACTTTCTCATTACAACGCTGCCAGTTTACATTATTTATCGGAAGCTGACCTCATTTTTATTGGGAGCGAGGGTTGTGCATCAATTATACACATACGATGCTCTAAATGTCAGTCTTATCTAGCAGCTCACACCACCAATTTATCGTTGAAAATTTATACACACAATTACCATGAGTAACTTAGCAAGAAAAAAAAATCAACAAATACGCTTTGACTAGTGAACTGTTCTTCTGCAGTGATTTGAAACGTATCAATGAAAAGAGAATTCGTAATTTTTTATTATTTAATTTTTGCAAAACCCTTAGTAAGAAGGCCTAGGGCCGAAAGCTTGGATTAGACATAACATCCTTTATTTAAGTAGATCTTTATAGATGCATCATTACGATTACTTATTTATTTTAATTAAAATGATAAGAGGCGTACTAGTACTAGTAATTTAGCCATGATTGAACAGTTAAAAAACATGGTCCAGTGTTAATTCTGTGTACTCACCACTTCATATCCAACTTCATAGTACGTTCCTCTTGCGTAAAGTACTGGGAGGCTTCCACCTCTCTTAAGCTTCAGACAGTCCTGTCCACCTTTGTTGTCCATGTGCAATGCTATCTTCAGAAATATAGACGAACTTCGATCGGCATGCTAACTAGAGACATGGAACCTCTCTTGTGCGAATGCAACAGTTGGGTTAAAATACTTGTATGCAGTATTTACACGATGTATAGGCCTATGCCATGACCTACATGTACTTGTGACCAACTACTTTATCAGTTGCATTCCTGCTCCTAAGCGATGTCCAACTGATCATTAATGCGTTTGGCATAGTTTGAAGATATGTAACATTAAAGGCAGGTTTAGTTCGATCTTCACATGCAAGTACTAGCACATGTAGGCCTACGTCGATCCGTAGGCTTATTTAAGACGTGATACCCTTCTTGTGCAAATAACACAGTCGGGGGAAAATAGGTCTACCTGCATGCAGTAATATGATATAACTTACCTGTGAGAAATTACTTAAGCGTCATTCACACTAGCAAGTTAACCGCAGTCCAGTTAACCCCGATAGACTCGCGTTCCTTTCTCAGGCCTAACCAACTACCAGACTCGGCACCTACGGATCCAGAATAAACCGGTATATCAGACCACACTACCCGTTTTCAAGGTGTGTGTCAGATCGCATTACAGAGTATCAGCCACCACACCGATTTTGCCTGGTGCGCGATGTGATAGCGATGATCGTAGTAATAGATAGACCCCGAGTCAGCGAGGGTTATGTGACGAGTGCGAAGCACGAGTGGATGTCACATAACCCTCGCTGACGAGGGATCTATCTTATTTAGACCACGGGTCCATTAGCGGGTTATAACGCATTCATGCGAGACGTGCGGTTATGCAAGTTACACCACGTCTGAATCTTTTGTTCTTCACTTCCACCGTGGTCTAAAGCGGGGTTGGAAANCAAAGACACAGTTTATGGTTATCAACGGTGACGCTAGCGACCGGGAGACAATTCATGTGCCAGGCTACAATGTGGAAAATTGCGAATTATATACATACTTAGGCGCCGTGTTTAGCCAGGACGGCAAAGTCTCCACCCCCGTAAAAGATCAGGTATTACACAAACAATCACATTTATTCAAATTTGCCGCATTTATACAAAAAAAACCAGGACTTCCCTTTTTGGATAAAACGTAAAGTGCTTGACGCCGCTCTTATGAGCTCCATTTTGTACGGCTGTGAGGCATGGCTGTGCGGTGGCGCTAAGCCAGCCAATGTTATATACCTGGCAGCATTAAAAATCCTACTGGGAGTTAGGACATCGACGCCTAACGACCTCGTATTAGCAGAGCTCGGTGTTCCTTCGTTGTCAGCCAGAGTTAAGAAAACGCAGAAAGCATTTATGTCCAAAGTACTTTCTGAAAGATCAGATCTATCAGACGACCCCCTGATGACTGTGTGGACACTCTGTAAACACGCCCGGACGAAGGGCGCCAATTACTTGACCAACGTGCTAAACGAGGTTGATGACATTTGTATCTCTGACATCACTAAGAGACAGTTAGCTATTAAGAACTCCCGAAGTAGTAAAAGTGTGTTTTATACCGAGATAAACCCCAGTGTGAGCGTACACGCCATGTACGAAGGGGCGGTTCGGGAGGAGGACAGAATCCCAGCCTCTAGAATAAGATTATCTGCACACAGTCTGGCTATCGAGACAGGCAGATGGGCGAAAAAGCCACGCGAACAAAGACTCTGTGAGTGCGGTAACATACAAACGGAGAAACACGCAATATGTGATTGTATTTATACGGCTGATTGCCGCAACAAATTCCCTACAATAGACTTTACAAACTTAGAAAGGGTTTTCAATGGCCCTGTTAATGACGTATGCAGATGTATAAGAATGTGTTTAACTAAATATTAAAGAAAAACAAAAGAAAGGTCAAACCCGTATACAACAAAAGCTTTGCCCGCGCAATGTAATTCGTTTTGCTTATATGGGAATAAAATTAACTAACTAACTAACTAGGGACGTCTGATACCATCAGTGTTAGTATAACCCATGGCAGATAGCATGTCGCTGGTTGACCGAGATTGGGCCACAGACTCTTCTGACTACGGCGGTCCACCAGCTACTGTCGCCGGTGGGCCTACGTTGGCCTGACCGCCGGTCCAACGTTGGCCCACCAGCGACATATATCTCGAGCGGCCTGTAGTGTTTTACCGGTACATTACAATGCAATGAGTAATCTGATGTATTTGTACGCATGCGCAGGGGAGTTACTGATAAAGTGCGTGAAGAGTCAACAGGTGTATTTTTGTGTCTCGTGGTATTGGTCAAGAACCAGTGATTATAACATTACACGACCCAACGTCGGCCCACCAGCGACAGTAACTGGTGGGCCACCGCAGGCCCACCGCTTTTCTTATGTTTTCTTTTATCATTATTATTATTCATTAATGAATTGATTTATTATTTTTTATACTTATTATCATTATTATTACATAAAATGGGCAAAACATATTATTATATTTCAAGATTTTTTATTCTTCCATAATCTTTTTTTTCATAATATACAAACAGGGTGGCAAGTTATAAAGGACCTTCAGAGAATAAGATAAATATTTAAAAAAAGGAAATCCATTGCTAAATGTAATGAATGTACTAAATCGTACCCTCTACCAGGGCGAGTATTAGATTTTTTACAGATATTCACAGATATGTCTCTGCTAGATAGATGGTCATTTAGGGCTCAACTCACCCTTTTGAGAAATCTCAAGGCTGATTACATGGCTGGTAATTGTTTGCATAATTGCTCAGGCACTGCCACTTTGCAGGTCCAGTCTAAGACTGCGTGACAGCAATTAAGACCCCAATCCCATAGATTTTAGATCGATCTATCCCGGTGGGGAGTCTCACTAGATTACTGTCAGCTTAGCCGGTTTAAGCGTCTGTCCCGCCTACTTCAAGCTGTAAGGGGGTAATTAACTATGGTGCGCGCTCGGCTGACTGCAATTTAGGGTGAACCCCCAGGGAGTTAGGTCGATCTAAATCTTAATCACTGGATCGATCTAAATCTCTGGGAATACACCCTAAGACAGTTAATAACTCTGACGTCAATAACTTGCTCTACTGTGACAGATAAAAGAGCCTTAGACTGGTTGCGTAACGAGCAGTTATCACATCGTTGTGAATCTCAGCTCATGCAGAGCAAGTACAAAGCCTTTGGCGCGCGCGCAGAGATAATTGTTTCCACATGGGATTCCTCAACAGGGTGAGTTGAGCCCTAAATGACCATCTATCTAGCTAGAGACATATCTGTGAATATCTGTAAAAAATCTATCACTCGCCCTGGTAGAGGGTAACTAAATCGTAGGCAGTTTTCACTCACTATCGTTCACTTACGCTCACTTACACAAGTAACCTTTCACTCTCACGATCGATCCCAGATTCGGTCTAAAACTTCACGTAAGTCAACCAAGTCAACCACAAGAATAAATCAACGTAACGCTGTTTTATTCAACAACTCCAAGATTCATTACATATACTATCTTTTATACAACTTTCTTTTATTGCAACGATCTTATGCAGATTTTCTGCTGCAGGTCTTTGTCCAATCAGCGCGCCAAATGTAAATTGTTTTCAATTACATAATTAGGTTATCGGGAGCGTCTCTTGATCTCCGGGCGCTCCCAACATATTCCTTCATTTTTTCCGAGAAAAAATATGATAAGATTTTTTTTCGTTAAACTTACGTGATATTTACAAAATATTATGTTTACGATAATATAAAATATATTAATTTTAAATTAAAACTGTAACGTTTCTTATTTAAAAGTCTATATTTATTCCGGCGCTGGCGTCGTGGATTCTTCCTTCTTCTTCTTTATAATGGGTCCTGCAGGGTCTGCTGATGAGGGCCCAGGATGATCCGCATATCTTTGAGGGATTATTTAGTTCCCTCAGGGCGTCCTGATGCCCTTATCCTTGCCGGACAAGCCCAACAAGGTTTTGCCGGTTTAGTCGCCGACGGCTCGACCATGGACAGGTAGTACCGTTTTACATGGTTAACGGTAGCAGATAACTGACCTGAGTGTTTGTTATCAAAACATAGAATACGCACAAAACGTTTTAAAAAGGTCCTCTTCGCTGGCCTGGTCTCTCACCTAGGTTCGAAGTTTCGAAGCCCATCCAAGGTCGAAGTGTCGAAGCCTCTTCCCGGATCGTAGTGTCGAAGATCTGCACACTTAAAGAGAGCTCATCGACCACCATGCCCCCAGTGATAGTTGTGCAAAAGAACAGTACAAGGAAATAGGTTTTCTTGTATTTCCAAAGCCATGTCAGTCTAATAGAGTCTTTACTTGCAACAAATAACACAATTTAATGTAAAAACACCCATTCATGTTACAACTACAACATATAAAATACAAAATTAGCTCTGTTTGAAAGGACCAAGCATGCCAAACAGAGTGCTTTGATTTGTAGACGAAACAGTTTTAACTGCCAAAAACGTCATATACATGTTCATGTAGATCCAAGCATAGTTAGTCTATGGGCGCATTCCCATAGATTTTAGATCGATCTATCCCTGTGGGGAGTCTTACTAGATTACTGTCAGATAATCCGGCTTAAATGTCCGTCCCGCTTACTATAAGCTGTAAGGGGGTAATTCACTTTCGTGCTCGCTCGGCTGACAGCTATTTAGCGTGAACCCCCAGGGAGTTAGGTCGATCTAGTTGTATCGATCTAATCTCTGGGAATGGGGTCTATATCTTTGCCAAATATCTCATAACCGTACGTTATTAATGGTTCAATCTTAACTAAGGTATCCAAATTTAATTTTTCAATAACCATGTAACAAGACACATAATTTCATCTCTGGACCCGCCCCCCCCCCAAAAAAAAAAAAAATAAATAAATAAAAAAATAATAATAAATAGTTAAACAGAAATAAAATTAAAAACAAAAACCAGTCTGAATCCGATAATGATGATACAAATGTCTCTTGCAAAGCTTGAACTCTATCTTTTTTCTGAAAAACAGGTAATTATGATGTGACCAAGTCTATCAGAGTGAACAGACGACACAGTCAACAGTTGAATCAAATATCTGGATCTATCACAAATGAAAACTGACTATTCTAGATCCCTCAATGCAAAGAAATCGGTTCTCACCCCATCCTCTCCTTCTTTGATATTTGATAGAATTCTAGTAACTTGTACCGGTTATGATTTACTGAGTAAAATAGCCCAGTTTATTGCTAAAACAAAGCAAAATTATCACATTTTATGTATTATACAATGCTGTGCAATAAGTTATACAGAAACACATATAGTCTTCAAAGCAGCACATGCATGTAATACCCGATAAATGACAATCAATTATTCAACTGATAGAAAAAAATGCGCCCAACTTTCTAATATTCCACGATTTGATCCGACACAAAGGCGATATGCTTATAACGTAGGAGGGACAGCTACCAAACCCTGACCATATAAAATATTATGAATGCAATAACTGAAGCATGATTAACAATGCCCCGAAAGGCCATGGCTTTGACAACGATGTTGGCAACTTGTCCATTTAAAACTTTGGGTGTCGTGTCAGACTCCTAGTGTTGAGGGGGGAGGGGGGGGGGGGCGGGGGTCACGAAAGTTGGATGTTACATAAGGCTTATCTTCTCTGTGAGCTAGGATTGAAGACGCATTTTTTTTATTAAATATGCTGTTATTACAGTTCACTACAGAGCGTGTCTTTTTCTCCTTACTCATCTATATTAACTGAATAGCTGGTTCATTTTAAGTACAATATAAAAAACGTATTCATTAATAAATCCCTCACCTTGTGAGTTTTGGGTAGTTCATCATTTGAGGTAGTAAGATAAAAAAATTGATCATGTTCATTGTCAGAGTCGACAATAGGCCTATCAGAAAATGACTGTCAAAAAATTGACTGTCAAAAAATTGGATATCCTTCAATGTAATTTGAAAATCTGACCGTCTTCCGGAAGACCCAGAAGACGGCCTCAATCCACCTCTGCAGGCGTCCTTTTCCAAGGTTTTGCACTGTCCTGTATATGTGCAGCCGGACCTACAAGTAGAGCACCTAGCGCTATCAAACCCTTTGTTAATAGCATGCGCTTTAGCTAGCAAGATTGACCCTTAATCTCGTCAAACCTATTGCAGAACTCCGTGGAAAGGGTTTGAACACAAGCAACTGTCTTTGGCACCTGGCCTGGCTGAAATGACAAGTTGCCGCCATTTTTAACCTGATGTGACTTGTTTCTAGGCTGCAGAAAGTGGCCTCTATTTGTGAATCGATCAAAACTTAGGGAATTTCCATTTTGTTGATGTTGATAAGCAAAGTGAAACTGCTCACTCGGCGCAGGGATTTCCAGGGCTATTTTTGCTCAGTATTTGAGGACAAATAAATATAAATCACTGATAGAAGACGATAACGATAGAAAAGGCCTACAAGGAAAACAATTTGCAAGTAAGTAAAAACCAAAAGTTACGTGCTCAATACTGTACGATATCTCTAAAGTGCAGTCTGTTTCAAAATTGAAGATAATTCAGTAATTTGAAACAGACTAGGAGCGATCCTTGTGATCAGAGTATACTGTACACATATCACAGTTTGGTGGATTTACCATATTTGTAACCTTAGACTGGGTTCCCACATTTTTAGATTTGGATCGATCTAACTCCCTGGGGGTTCACGTTAAGTTGCTCTCAGCTTCGGAGAGCCGAGCGCGTACAAAAGTTAATAACCCCCTTACAGCTTTTACTAGGCGGGACAGACATTTAAGCCAATCTTGTGAGACTCCCCACGAGGATACATCGATCTAAAATCTGTGTAAATGCAGTCTTAGACTGTGGGGAAGGAGGACACAGCCGGGTAGGGGGGCACGGTGGCGTAGGGGGGCTCAGTGGGGGTAGGGGGTGACAGAGTGGGGGAAAGGGGGTCACATTGGGGTAGGTGGACTCAGTGGGGGTAGGGGACACAGTGGGGGAAGGGGGGCACAGAAGGGGTAGGGGCGACATTGGGGGTAAGGGGTGACACAGTGGGGGTAGTGGGACACAATGGGGGGGCAGTCCATGGGGCTAGGGGGACACTGGGGGTAAGGGGGACACAATGGGGGTTAGGAGGACACAGTTGGGGGCACAGTGGGGGTCATTGTGTGTAGGGGGACACACTTGGGAGGCACGTTGGGGGAAGGGGGACACAGTGCATATTGTTCTTTATAATCTATTAGACATTAAAACCGTCTGTTTCAGCCCACTAGGCCGCAATGCCAATACTTGACAACAGGTCGTACCGGAAACAGCTCCGTGCATGGATTGGTGACCCGACCTTGACCTTTAACCTCCTGTACAGCGCCACCAGAGACGGCTGCAGTGGTCAGGCTTTCCATCAGAAGTGCAACAACCAAGGTCCGACTGTTTCTATTGGTCAAAACAGTGCTGGTTACATCATAGGGGGGTACACGAGCATCCCATGGACATCACGGGGAGATTATTTTAATGATGACCGTGCATTTTTGTTCCAGCTCTTCCCAAACAAGGTAAAGTTCGCTCGCAATGGGAACGGGAATGATGTTTATGACAACGCTACGTATGGTCCCACGTTTGGAGGGGATTTAAACTATAATCAGACGGCTTTCGATACTGCTGGCAGGTATGGTTATGGGCGAGTTAGGGACAGGAAAGGGCGGTTTAGTTGGAATGGGATCCCAGTCCAGATGCCAGGTGTTTCTGAGTCCTGTGGAAACGATCTGTTGTTCTTTTCCGATTCAAACAATGGATATGACGCTTATTCAGACACAGCCGACTTTGGCTACATGGGTACTTATTATGCCGCCAATGGTTTCACCGCTAATTCATACAATACATCTGGCGATTATTTCTACACAAATGGCTACAGTTACATCGGTAATAGTTATAATGGCAATGGTTACAACGCCCAAACATTTACTGGAAACAGCAACGCTTATCTCGACATTGAAGTATACGCTGTAAAACGTAAGTGCTATTATACTCGTCAACTGTATATTACACAATGTTTGGTTTTATGCCAATTCTCAAATGATTCTTTTTTCGTAAGTGAGTGAAAGATGAGAGAAAGCCAAGAAAATTTTAACTGCATGTTTGTAATAAATAAAAAAAGTTGAAACTGTTATACTGTCGTTTTATTTCCATTACGAGACGATGAATACCTGGACTGCCTTTCAATATTAAAAGTTATAAATAGATATGTTACCTGTTTCACCGCCCTATTAATAAATAGTTTTACAACATTGGATACTTCTCCACAGGTCATTTATTTCTAATTATATAGTTATTTTTTGACAGAGGTAAATTCAGAAGATGAATTATATGAGAAAGATAAACCGTGGCGCAAAACTGACATTAACGACTGGAATAATAAGGTATGTGAAGCTCTTTGACGTACCTCAACGAAAGATAAAATAACTAAAGTTACTACTTAAACAAACTTTTCTTTTTACTTATTTTGTACCACTTCATCGTTTTTGTTTTTTGTTTTTTTTTTAATTAAATTATTAGTCAAATTCCAAAGTAACTTAACCAATGGTTTATTTTTCAGACAGGCCCAATTATTATATCAAATTTTATAGTAACCTTAGTAGAATTGACTCTTGTAGACCAACAATTTACAGTAGGGGGAGCTCTGCATTCTCCCACCGTGGCGCCACCTGTTTCAGCTACCAGGGACATCCACAGGGAATTAATTTATGAAAATTAACATTTAAAAAACTGGCAAATTTGAGGTTATTGTCTTAATCTCCTTTTTTTCAGACCAGAGGCAAACTTTTTGATGAGTTGGTGTCGTTCTCCACTCCAACCCCGGCCAAAGTTCCCGCCGCACGGCTCCTCCTGGTGGGCAGTGTGGGGGCGGGGAAATCCAGTTTCTTTAACACCGTGCGCTCTGTGTGGAAAGGCAAAGTCCGCAGCCAGGTGGCGACCGGAACGGCACCCCATAGCCTCACAACCAAGGTATGTACTTGCATGATATTTTTCCATTGGTAAATGAAGGGGTTGTTTAAGAAGAGCAGGCTTCATAGGTCTTTAAGGTGAAGATATTTACACTTTTATCAAAATGTCATAATACGTTTTGAACGAGAAAATCCTGAAACAGATTCGCTTCTTTTTCTTTCGTTCTTTCTGAGTGAGTAAATGTACCTGTAATTAGTAATCCAGTAGAAGAAGAATGACTCTGAAACCTGGAGAAAAACTGGAGCTATGGTGGCACCAAAGAAGCCATGTGGGAATGGGTGGGAAATCCAACACTGAACAAGAAAGAGGGCCTCAGTTTTATATGATTGCGCACATACAGTGCCTCCGGAAAGTGCCCTTACCAAAAGGCCGCATGGGCTCCCAACCCTGCCCCGTATGGTCGAACAATAGAGTGCGCATGATAATTGCAGGGTAGGGGAATAGGCAAGTAATCCTTATCGGACACCCTAATTAGTCGGTTCAACGAGTGCGCTCTGCTTCTTCTCAATTGCCCTTAATTGTATGGGACGGGGCAGTGGAGACTATTCCTAGCCATATGACAATAGATCAGGGAACCAGCTATCCAGGCTATTTACCAAGTGAAAGCTATCAACGTTGATTAGTTGCCTAATGTAAGTTTCAGAGTTATTCATAGTTATCCCTCTTTCTTACATGTATTGTTGCTGTTGTTGTTGTTGTTCTACGTTTTTCTTCTTATTATTATTATTATCATAAAAGTATCGTGTGTATGAGATCCGAGGAGGCCACCAGACGCCTGCGTTCCGTCTGTGTGACACCATGGGTCTGGAAGAGGACCAGGGACTAGATGTGGGGGACATGGCTTATCTGCTGGATGGTCACGTGCCAGACCATTTCCAGGTCAGTGACGTATTACTTATCTCTCGGAGTCGCAGATGTCCAGAGTTCACAGGGAAGACAGAGGCTCTCTGATGGTAAAGCCCGGTAACGAATCTAAGGGTTCGTGAAACAGACAGGTCGTCCTCCATGTTATCCCCAGCCTAAGACTGATTACTGGATTTGCGACGTTAGGCTAACAAAAATGCTTCGGCACTCTTTAAATTCCAAATAATTATCAATCAGATAAGAAATGTTCATCATGGTTAAGTTCATTATTTGATTTGAGTTTAACTAAATGGTTTAACCCTTATTTCACTTTGCATTAATGGTTCGTGATTTTTGTCTTTGTTTTACTAAAATCATCTTGCAATTAGTCAAAAGTAGTAATTTAATGAAGTACAATGAAGTTTATATGAAGGAAATATTTTTGTTAAATTTCTCTCCAGTTTAACCCGGCTGTGCGTATCACACGCAAATCCCTTGGTTTTGTGAAGGACCCTGGTTTGGCTGACGCCATTCACTGCGTAGCACTAGTCATAGATGGCAGCACATACAAGGTCATGTCTCCCAAGGTCAAGGACAAATTGCTGGGTCTACGAACACTGGCACTTGACAGAGGTATCGTCTTTATTTCTGTAACTGAAAAATGGATTATCTTTGCTTTGATATATAATAACTTGTATCCAACGCAGCATGTGGCCCGATGACGAGATTTCGAATAAGTTTGATACCTATTTTCGAACGATGCTTCCTTGTTAAGGGGTGCACATATATGTAACTCCACGTAGTTGAAGGGAAGACAGGATATATAAATGAAATGGACCTTGTTTGCTTGAACATAAACCTTTATTTAGGTAAGCCAAGGGATGGAAGGGAGAAGTCTCAAGGGTCACAAATCTAAGCCTCGCTTCACTCAGCATATGAGTACCTACAGATGTAGTACGCCCTGTACACTTATCAGTTGGGACCCGGTTCCTGTGAAGAACATGTAGTTTGTTGATTGATGAAATATTTAGAATTGCTGATTTGATCACATATCAGTGTGTAAAAATACTACTTTAAGAGTAAGAATAAATTATTTACTGAAGTTAAATCTGTTGCAGATATCCCGGTCCACGTGGTCTTGACCAAGGTGGACAAGGTATGCAAAGACGTAGCTGAAGACCCATCTGTGGTATTTCACAGTCGCGTCATTGAAAAGAAAGTGAAAGACATCAGTGACGCATTCGGTATACAGAGTAATCACGTCCAACCTGTGAAGAACTACGAATCCGAGACCTCCATTGACCCCAGAGTGGACATCCTGACTCTGAACGCCCTCAGACAGATGACCGGAAGTGCCGAGGACTACATTGAGTTTAAACTAGACGACATGGAGGAAACGGACACCCAAATGTCTAAAATGAATATCAAAAAATAACTTCTAGGAGTCCCGCTGACATGTGCATGTATCACAGCACCCTGTGTTGTTTGAGTTGTAGAACTAGAACAAATTTAGACACGATCCTCAAATATATATATATATATATATATATATATATATATATATATATATATATATATATATATTAGAAGTATTTCAACTTTGTATAACGTATTTTAAGTGTGTTGGGCATATATATATATATATATATATATATATATATATATATATATATATATATATATATATATTAGAAAATCATAAATGGGATTAAGAGCACTAAGAAGATGTACTGCTAGCTTCTCGTAATCCAGCTTTGTTGTGTCAAATAAGATACACCAATAGCTCGACCAGTTTTATACTGTAAATGATTCATTTGGCGAAATTGAACCTTACTTGAAGACCAAAAAAAATGTGGCCAATGTCAAGATAAACCCAATGTAGTACATTTAAATAAAATAACTGTGGGTCCATAGAATTACAGATGTATTTGTTATAGAACAGGCGCAACACACCATTTTATTCCTTTTTTTTGTTTTATTATTTGCACTAACTGCCGGGTATCCATCTCGAGGCAAAGCAGAATTTACACAAGTCTAGAACTTTAGACCAAATATCGGACAAAAAAAGGTTATTTCTGAAACATCCTCCTGATCTAAGTTCCCATTACCCCGTGCAGAAAACACATCAGTTTTGGTGATCTATCTCCATTCAGCTCTTAAGTGATAAGCTGCCAATGCACCCCAGTCACGGTAACACTAATGAAAGTCCGGATATTGCCTGCCGGATATTACGTCATTAACGATACATCATGTACAAACTACCGTGCTCTCCTGCAGCCATTATAATAAGCTGACGTCGCCTTAAGTCACTTGATTGTTCACACGTTAGAGCGCATTCGGAACAGCGGTCTAACAGATCCGCGGATCAAATATGGCGACCCACTAAAAAGCTTGCCGCTTAATTACGGATTTTACACTGAATAGATTCCCCGTGGGGATTACACAACAAACATTCAAGTGGGTCGGCCATATTTGATCCACGGATCTGTTAGTCCGCTGTTCTGAATGCGCTCTAACAGGTAGTCCGTGTTTTTGTTTTATTATTTGTTATGATGATGGCTTTTAGCATACTGATTTGCTGTACGTTTATATACATTGTTGTATTACTCATAGTTGGTGCACATTTTCACCCATATGACCAGACCGTTACGGAATAATAATAATAATAATAATAATAATAATAATAATAATA